TGCTGCTTGGCCTGCTGTGTTCATCCAGCTCTGCACCTTGTTGTCTCGGATTCTCCAGCATCTGCAGTTCCTACAATCTCAGCTATCTGTGTGGCTTTTTCTAAGGCTATTCTTTCATATGTAAATATAACGGCTTTCTAGGGTTACTCGCCCACTTATTTCCTTCTGCAACTTACTGGGAAAGCCTAGCTGTACATCCTGTGCCTCTATCCTCTCACCCAGGCCTATCAGTGACTTCAATTAGTTTGCTATGTCAGAAATTTTGTGCATTAATTTATGTGTCTAAATGGACTATAAGATACTCTGTTGATCGAAGGTAATAATGTTGCAAACTCAGGTCAGCAACTACTCCTATAATACTCCAATTGGCTGTCAATTTTCATTGATAAGTCACATAAGTGAATCATTAATGCACAGGAAGCTATTTGAACAATTGGGCCTATGTCGACATTTTGATAATCATTCTACTTCCTTGCTCTCCCCCCACCCCAACACCCTGCAAGCTGTTATCATTCTTAAAATTTCAGTTAAATTTCATTATTATAATTCTGTTTAAATCCTCAGACAGAGCTTATCATTATTGACACATTTGACTAATGTGGTTAGGTTGACTACTGGATGAGACACAAAAGCATCTATTTAAGTCTCTATAACTAACGGTACACTATTTTAATATTAAATATAGTTAATGCTAATGAAATTATTTGCATTTGTAGCTAAGGCAATAGAATTATGACACAACATTTTCATTTTCTTTATGAGAAACATTTTATTCTCAATCTGTCGTAAGTATTTTTACTTTGTGGAAATAAGTTACAAATCTATTGCAGCATAAGATTGGAATATGACTCAAGCAGGTTAAATAAATTAGTCAGGTCACCAGATATTTCTTCACCAGAGTTCCAGAAAATACAGACTCCCTGCAATATGTAACTAAAAACATGCATGCACAGTTAAGAATGTTGCATTTAGGTCTGCTGCTCGCTGAAGACTCAAGTTTGACATTTTAATCACTTTTAAGTTATTTAAAATCTGCTATTGTTTCAAAAGGAAATGAGTAGAATCCTATTTTATACAGAAGTCCACATTAAGTTTGCCTGAAAGTAAGTGGCTTGCTTTGACGGAAATATAAGGCACTGTCAAGTTTCCATGTACCTTGAAGGACTAGTAATGCCCTCCATAAATGTTTGCAGTTTATTTATTCTGTTTAGGGGCACTAATATTGTGACCAAGTTCTGTCCTATCCTTGCTCACTGTTCCACACATGGCTACTCTAGGAGCCATGACTTATTGAGGTAAAGTCGGAGCAAATTATTGCAGAAGCTGGAATCTGTACTGAAAACAACAAATCACAACAGGTCAGGCAGCATCTTTGGAGAGAGAACAAGTGAATGTTTCGAGTCTAGATGATTCTTCATCAAAGCGGTTATTGAGGTGGATGATCAGGGTGGTCAATTAACACATTAGTGGCTGAGATCGTAAACTGGAACTATCCTGGTCTTTTGTTTCTGAGCATTTTACCATGTAATACATAAAAAATGTTACATAAAATGTTTTGAGTATGCTTTACTAATTTACTTTAAAATATAAAAATGCTGTTTTTCAATACTGCTATTTATTTTCAGGCTGCATCAGATACATTACTGACATTGCAAACTCCAGAGTGATCGTTAAATAACTTGTACATTAGACACTGAGGTGTGACTTTCTAAATAATGATATCTAATGAAGCGGTTCAGGTAGAACTCCTCTCATCAGTTTAGTGAAAAATACACATTCAGACCACGTGACTTGGATTATCATCCCTGAAGTGGGTTATTGAAATGAAAAAAACACAATTGTAATGAGTAATTACATTTAGTGTCATTAACTTGCAATGAAATGTTTGCTAGTAAAGCAATAAGAGGTGCTTTACAGACCCACCTAATAAGATGGAACTTAGTCTAAGATTGGCAACACAAAACCTATACGTGAGATTGTACCGTCATTTGTTTAATTCCACATTGGTAGAACAAGAACTATTTGTGAATTAGCTGAAAGAGTGCACATTACATTGTTCTGCCTGCTGGGCAGAGATTTGTCAATAAAACCCTTCTTCCTTCATCATCTCTCATTCTCTTTTGGACATTATCTGCCATAAGAGGCAAGTTACTAAAGTTCAGCCTTTACAGACATTTGAAATTGTAACTCATTGCTCAAAAATATAAATGTGACTGCTTTTACTTTGGAAAACAGCTCAACCATTAGAACTGATGGTAGCATCCAGACTCTTAAAGTCTTGGAATTATTGAATAAGCAAATTATTACCGTTGTGATCATTGTGCATTGGCACCAGACCCACCAATGGGAAAATTGTATGTTACATTGGCAATAATGCATAAATGGGTTCCTTTGTAACACAGAGAAACTAAGTCTGCAGGAATCAATTTATAGTAGCCTCAAAAACCTTATTGTCAAGCAGGGACACGGGACAAAATTTTAGTCTCCCACACAACATGCATGCAGACATTGTGTTAGATTGTCAAATGAAGCAACAGCCAAGAATGCCAAATTGTTACTTCATTCTATCCCTCTGCGGCTTCTAGCCAGTGGTCCATTTGGACTTTTGAAAGTTCCATCCAAATCAAGTTGTTTTCTTAAGATATTTAAAGAGGAGGCAGGAAAAAAAGATGATCTTCCATTATGCATGCGATGGTTGCACTGGATGCTGTGTACTTCAGGAAACCTCTTGATTTTCCATGCTTTAGCAGCCATAGCTTTATCTAAGTTATTCTCTATATTCTTCTGTATTTCTGTATTTTTCTCTATTTAAATTTTCATTTTTACGTTCGACTCCCTTCACACATCTGCAAGCCCCTCTATCCTTACTATTCTTCTGGATGTCCATACTCATTCAAATCTGGCCTCTTGAACACGTCAAAGCTCCAACTTTTGATGGCTGTTTCCTAAGCTGTCTCCATCCTCTTCTCTGTAATTTCTGACCCAACCTCTTGGCTTCTATCTCTTTCCTTAAAACCTACTTCTTTGATCAAATTTTAGGTTTTTTTATCGTGGGTAACCAATTCATTTAAGTACACGGGCCCTTTCAAATTTTTTTTTGTCGCAGTAACACATGGATGGTAACTTAAAGAGTTGGTTTGTGTTTGGCTTGTGTGGCTGGACAGCTTACAGAGAACAATGATCATCAGTCCCCATATCACTCGTCCAGATGTCCAGTGTCAAGTTCTGTTTAATATCACTTCAGGAATTTTACTGTATTAACGGCACTAGATACATGCAAGTTGTTGTTGATGGATGGTCCTCTTTCCAGAGGAGACTGTGCCAACCATTATGCTGTAAGGATCTTTGGAAATAGCAAAACATATCATGTTAAGCTTTACGTGATCCTGCACTAGAGACATACTAGTGATTAAGGGAGAGTGTTGCCGACTAAGTCTTAGTATAGGTGCTGGCATATCTTGTTGCCAATGGTTGCAATATTATGGCCATCCAGACTCTAGGCTATGGTACATACAGATACAGATACATTTTCTGGAAGCATATCTGCAGCTGTAATGCAGTTGACATCTTGAACTCGCAGGGATAGTAAGAGTCAGCTCGTCCTAAAATTTGGTTGCCTCTTTTGGTAGTCATGTTTCAATACTGCTTATAAGTGTGGAACCTGAAGTGGCAGAGAGGGCCAACCTCCTCATAAGCATTCCATCTGCAATTGCTTCTAACTTCAAAGGATATGAATTAGTGGCTTTACTTGTTGTTCAATTGCCTACAGATCTGGTTGAATTTCGGTTCCTTTTCCTTAATTGTTCCCTGTTGCATCTTGTTCACTCATATTTGCAGCTTTGACAGATGCCAATGGTGCTTTGCAATGCTTAACAGGTGGCTCTCTGAAAACCTGTTGAAATTATGTCCACTTCTCATTTTGTGGCACTGCCCTACTATTGTCCCATCACTTACACAATGTCTCTCTCTCTCTCTCTCCGCATTCCTTTCAGCCCTAGACTTACATGAATCAGTGTCTGGTGTTGTGAATAAATTATGTTAATGTCTTTAGCCCAGTGAATGGAATGCTCCTTGCACATGGTCTTTCAGATGGGATCTGCGCCAGCTCTACATTGAGATTTGAAGATTGATATAAGCCCTTTGATGGATTATGGCACAAAAGACAGCCATTCAGCATGTCAAGACAATGCTGAGTCTCTGCGTATTTGTCACAACTGCCATAAAAAGTCCAGACATCCTTATATGATGTATAATTTATTATTTGAATTATTAATTTTAAAATATATGGTTATTTAAAATATATGAATCATAAGTACGTTTTTGATTAGATAATTGTCAGATAAATCCGAAAATGATTAACACTTTAAGTTCTATCATTAAATGTATACTTTTATCATTAAGCTTCGACTTTAGGAGCAGCTCTGAATCAAACAATAAATGTTTTAGGATGAAGATCTTCAAAACAATTATGCTGCTACCTGAAAGCAGTTCTTGAATCTCTTGCTGACAAAGTAGAGTGCGATCGGATTGATGCAGGAATTGAGGGAAGCCATATTAATGCCAATGTAGTTCATCACTAGGAGAAAACTGGATGCCAAAACAAAAACATTAGAAGTGGCTATTTAGAGACTTAAAGTATTTTGTTATATATGTAAGTACACATTAAAGAATTTCTGAGGTTAATCTTTCCAGCTGCTTGGATGAGTGCACCTGTAACAACATGCAAGAAGCTTAGCACCATCCAGGTCAAAGCAATGTCTTCAGCAACACCCTATCCATGACTTTAAAGATTGACTCCTTCCACCTTGGACAGTGGCAACAGCGTGTACCATCTCTAAGATGCATTGTAGCTAATTCTGAAGAATTCCCTCAGTAGCACCTTCCTTGACTTTTCCCAAATAAAAGGACAAGAACAACAATTGCTAGTTTTTTTCCAAACTTGGAATAATATAAAGGCTCTTTCACTGTTGCTAGGTCAAAATCCTGAAACTCCCTTTCTAATTGCTAGCTAGGGATTTATTGACATCAGATGGACTATAATGGCTCAAGAGGGAAGTTTAGCACCACCTTTTAGAACAAATGAGCTAGGAGAAGGAGTAGGCAATTCAGCCTTTCGAGCCTGCTCCACCCCCAATAAATGCAATCATGACTGATCTCTACTTGACTTCAACTACATTTTCCTGCCCCCTCTCCATAACCCTTCAACCCATTACTAATTAAAAGTCTGTAATCTCCTCCTTAAATTTACACAATGTCGCAGCAGCCACTGCACTCCGGAAAATGAATTCCACAGATTCACAACCCTTTGAGAGCAGTAATTTGTCCTCACCTCCATTTTCAATCTGCTACCCCTTAGCCTAAAACTATGAGCCGATGTTATCAACCCCCTTTACCATCTTATATACATCAATTAGGTCTCCTGTCATTCTTCTAAACTCTAGACAGCATAGGCCTAAATTGCTCATAACACAAACCCCTCATCCCTGGGATCAATCTCATGAACCTCCTTTGAATTGCCTCCAAATCCCACTTCAAATAAAGGGCCCAAAACTGAATGGAATACTCCAGGTGCAGTCTCAGTAATGCTTTGTGCAGTTGCAGCTACACTTCCCTCCTTTTATACTCTATTCCTTTAGCAACAAATGCCAAACTTCCAAGTGCCTTCCTCATTACCTATTGAACCTGCATACTAGTTTCCTGAGACTCATGCATGAAGATACCCAGATCCCTCTGCACCAAAGCACTCTGAAGTTTCTCTCCATTTAGATTATAAGTTACCTTTCTATTCTAACCAAAATGTGCAATGTCATACTTAGCCACGTTAAACTCCATCTGCTAAATTTTGACCAATTTACCCAACCTATCCATTTCATTTGTAAATTTCTTATTCCTTCATTGCAACTTACTTTCCCACCCATTTTAGTGTCGTCTGCAAATCTGCCTAAAGTACATTCTATTCCTACATCTAACTCATTGATAGCAATTATAAATAGGTGGAGCCCAAGGACCAAACCCTATGGCACCTCTTAAGTCACATCTTGCCAGCATGCGAAAGACATTTCTCTCCCAACTCTCAGTTTTCTGTTGCTTCTCCATCAAATCCTCTGTTGAAGATAATACATTACCCCAAACAGGGGTAATTTCAACAGCAATTAGGGATGGGCAAGAAATACTGACCTTGCCAGTTACACTCAAGTCCATGAAAGAATAAAAAAAAAAGTTTTATATGTTACAAGTGCTTTTATGATTAAAAACATGCAATTTTTAAAACTTGTAATGTTTTCATTTCTGGCAATGATGATCTTCAACATAAAAACAAAATTTAATTCATTCCTGTTTCATAATGAGCATCGATATTACAATATGTAAGACATTTATACATTGGTTATTGCTATTTATCCAATCAGAAAAATAGATATAATTATTTGTAATTATAAAACCTTAGATATAGCTCATAAATCCTGGGCAACAAACTACATAGCAAGCCAAATTATTCTTTATAAAATTTGAAACTGGATCCAACATAGTCATGCCTTTTTTTCTGCATATAACATTTGATGAGTTTTAAGTTGTCATTTGCAAATGAAATGAAGACTAAAATGCTAAATTTTCATATAGGTTAAAAATATAAAATCTCACACTATCCTAATTCTCAATCAGAAAACAAGCTTTAACAGGAGTTGGTAGCTTTCTCTCTGGTATATGTTATGCTTACTGCCCTCTTATGGTAATCTGACATCCTCAAATTCCATTAATTCTTACCTCAGTAGTTCACATCTGTTAGGATCATTTTCATCATAGAATATCTTCATTAAAATTCTACTAAGATGAAGTGGAAGCCAACAGAGGGCAAAAACAAGCACCAAGCAGAATACAGTCTTTGCTACCTCACGACGCTGCAAGTGAACAATCAGAGTGTTACTTATATTATCGAGCCCTTTGTTTGAAAGAGCTTCAAGATCACAACCAACAACACTCTGAGGGCACTATACCATTCTAATGATAAACCTTACTTGAATGCAGTTCAATAAACCATTCCCACTGCAGGAATACAGTGAGGCACATTCAATAATTTAGCATATCACTCTGAGTACTATGATTGATTGCATACAACCCATCAAAACTGTAGCTGCACCACAGAATTGATTTTGGCAGTTTCTGTTTTCATGTAAATATTGTTTATCGCTACCTTCAACAATGAGTTTATGCAATGGTAAAGATGGAAGGTGGCGTCTTTATAAATTTTTATTGTAACTTCATAGTTGGTGAAATGGACAGATAGATGGCAATACAGTTCAATGAATCAAACTGTGACATGTTATAGTCTAGGAGGAAAGAAATTATGAAAGGATTATGCTCTAAATAGTAACATTTTAATTTGGGTGGGTAAAAGTGGAAACGCTGATATTAATAAAAACATAAGATGCATAGAATTTTGGAACAAATAGTTAAGTACCATAAATAAAAATCATATAAATGTTGATTTTTATGCAAATTCTCACTGTCTGAGTATTCCATAAAGTTCTGGGTACCTGTTAGTAGAGGTTTCTAACAGCTAGTTTAAGGGAGCAACAAAATATAGTAAGAAGTAATAAGTTCTACATTTGTGGAGAGGCTCAAAACAGTGCAATGAGTTTCACTGTAACAAATAGATAGAGATAAAATTAAAATTTTCAAAATGATGGAAGATTTTTGAGATGGTTATTGTTGGCAACGGTTAATGAATTAGCAATGATGAGACACAACAGAAGACAGGAAGAACAAAAAGGAAAATTTAAAGAATTGTTTTCAAAATGGAATTAGTAAACATATACTTTAGTCATACTGAGTCACTTAAAAAGCAATTGCAAAGAAAGGATAGAAAAACGTGGAGAAAGAATCGGGAAATGGAATTACAAAAGATAATTCCGGTTAAAGATCTGATGTAAGAATGACAAGACAAACTACACACTTCTGTTGAGATCTGAGCTTATGCAAGATCAGGTATGGCAGGTGTAGGTTTGTGAAACAATTGTATTCTGCTTATTCAAAACTGCATGTACATTGTTGAATGATAATCAGTTAAATCTTGATTTGGAGATTAATTTACTAACTCTTAATTAAGTTCAATTCAACTGGAACATTATTTTGTGAACAAGTTGTATTTTACCATCATTTTGCAATATTGAGATAGTCATTATTTTTAAGCTGAATAAAACAAAATTATATTTTCACCTTCTAAATGAACAATCAGTTTATGTCTGTACTGTGAAGCAATAATCAGAAAACATTGTAAACTTGTCCTGGATATCTAACCATGAATGATGGAATTCAACTGTAACTAGAAGATTAAGTGCAATCTAAAAGTTGATCTTTTAAGGTAAAGCACTTGATTTTATTAATTAACTGTTTATTGTTATATTACTACAAGTACGTAGATTAGAATATCAGTACAGATGATTGCCCCAGGAAACAGTTTTACATTAATGCAAGTGTAAATTATTTTCATCATTTTCAAGAATAAATTGATGGGAGTAGATTCTCATTATAGCTTCAGGATCTTGCCAGTGGGAGCAAATAGAGAGGCTGAGTGAGCACTTACAGGCAGGGTGTACAACAGATTGATTTTCATGGAGGCGGCCTTCGCATTCAACATTCTATTAAGTATGCTTGACAGGCCTTTAATCAGGAGGTGCCTTTAATCAGAGGGTCAACTGAGAGAAATGCATGTGGCTGTTGCAGGTCAGAAAATGTAAGGGTATTTGGCTGTGTTCTGAATAAGCCTTCTGTAACTATCAAGTTGTGGAGTATGGCTCGACCTCTAAAGTCTGGCTCAGGGGCAGGGATACTACCCATTGCAACAGAAGACCTCCCGTTGAGAGGAACTGAAGGAAATAAAATGAACTGAAATTAAATGCTGATAGACATTCTTTTGAAAATGGACGCCCTGAAATTCTGACAGTGTTTTGCTGAAATCCCAAAGTAACTCCAGCTCAATCCCAGTGAAGGCTCAAATTAATTTAAAAGTAATACTAACCATTTTTAAGTGGGGGAAAGACTTAAGTCAACCTAAGAATGTAAAGCAATAATATCTAGTGGGCAACATGTTATTGAAGCTGACCACTGATTCGGTTTAAGCTATTTATATACGAAAATAAATTGTTCTGTTGAATATTTTTAAAAAATGGAAATTAATATTTAGATGCTTACTTGTTTCAGATGGTCATTCAGAGCAATCTGCATCCCACTTTTCTTTCTTAGCATCTCACAAGTCATTAAAGAGTAAAACAGAGCTGTGCACGCGAGAGGCATACAGAAATAAAAAGCAAAGAGCCACCAGTCTTTTGCTATCTTGTAGAACTGAAAATAGTCATATAAAAAAAACATTAAAGGAATGAAAGACAATCACATTAAGAGAATCATAACTGCCACAGTCCTGATTCAATCCTATCAACATAAAACATTTTACACACAGCACACTGAACATTTGAACCATACAAACGATTGCATCCAACATTCCAGAAATCTAGACTTGCGTAGGGTTGCCAACTTTAGACACTATACAGTGGGAATCCTCCATTTTGACTACAAAATGTGGGAAACCCTTCACTGGACCAACACAGCGTAACATCACTGCTATTGCTGAAAAATAAAAGCCTTTTAAACAAGGAAAATAATCACATTAAATAAACATAGCATCAAAAATAATATTACCAGGAAGATATAACTTCAGAAATGGCACAAGTAAATCACAGAATTGGACATCTTAAAGAAATCATCCTTAAGATACATAACATCTTCTAAACTGGATATTAAATCAGAAGCTGAATAAGTAAATACACTTTTATATAGAATTAGAATACAGTTGTTGTTGTTATTGCTTGCCAAGTTGTTAGAGAAGCAACACACACATTTGAAGAAATATAAAATCTTTGGTAATTACTTTAATCACAGAACAAATAAAAATTCTTGAAAGAAAAATATTGCACAGAAGAGTTAAGCATCTAGGTGAATCAGCAGATGATTTAATTAATGAAAGTAACAGATTCGCTGTGAAATGTGACCACAGTGACTTCAAGTCAGAATTCATAGCAGACAGAATTATTGTAGGAACTGGTAAGACTTCATCAGATTTATTACAGTTAAAGAGAAAGTTATTGAATGAAGCACAAGTTCAGAAGGAACACGGATCAAACATGGGAGAAAGTCAGTCTTAACACAGAAGGTCAACAGAATCTTTTCTTAAGTGATAAAACCATGATGGAAATACATGAGAAATAGTGCTGTGATTTTGACAGACACAGCATGGTAAAAGATCGTTGTCAGCACTATGGAGCAGAGAAGCTTCATAGGCACAGATACAGGCTATCAGGCCACAGTTAGCTCAAACAGATCCAATAGGGGGGTAGAGTGGAAACAAGGAATGACACACAAGCCATTGTATCGTATCAAATAATGGGTGAACCATAAGCTCAGTGGGTTGGCTGTGAAAACATATCTTGAGCACCAACAGGTCCTTGCAGTTATGGAAAACATACTGGTGTATGATGAATAACTATTCATTCCGGCTTCACTTCAGAAAGGTGCTCTAGGGAAGCCGCACCAAGAACATTGTACAATTATGCACATATACAATACCCTTATAGATTTAGAGACAGGGACTTGGGCAGTGTTGTAGAACAGAGAGACCTCAAGGTTCAGGTAAGTAATTCTTTGAAGTTTGCATTATATACAGATAGGGTGGTCAGAAGGCATTTCCCATGCTTGCTTTCCTTGCTCAACCTTTGAGTATAGGAGTTAGGATGTTATGTTGAGCTTGTGCAGGACATTGTTGAGGACTTTTCAGGGGTATTGTATCCAGTTCTGGTCACCCTGTTACAGGAAGAATATTATTTAGCTGAAGAGGGTTCAGAAGAGATTTACCAGGATGTTGCTGGAAATGGAGGCTTTGAGTTATAAGGAGAGGCTGGAGAGACTGGGGATTTCAAGGCAAGGGGGAATATTTTTCAGTTGAGAGGAAATTGATTTAAAAAAGACATGAGGAGCAATTTTTTGGTTTGAGAATGGTTCCTGCGAGGAATGAACTTCCAGAGGAGATGGTGGATGTGGGTACAGTTAGAATGTTTAAAAGACATTTAGATAAGTACATGAATAATAAATTTTTGGAGGGATTTGGGCCAAGCGCAGGCATGGGGGACTAGTTCAGTTTGGGGTAATGGTTGGACTGAGGGGTCTGTTTCTATGTTATATGGCTCTATGACATTTGGAGATCAGGATATGTAGTGCCAGAGCTTGGTCAATAGTTTGATAGCCTTGGATCTCCAAGGACTTTGAAGATATCATAGCTGATTGTGAAAGCGTGATTAAACTGGTTTGGCAGAAATGTTACCACCACTTTCAACACTGAAGACAGCTCAGACTGCAAGAATCAGCTAAGTTCGCTGTGAAGCATAAGCAACAAAATAGCCATTTTCTGAAGAAGGGTCCAGACCCGAAACGTCAGCTTTCCTGCCCCTCTGATGCTGTCTGGCCTGCTGTGTTCATCCAGCTTTATGCCTTGTTATCTCAAACTCCAGCATTGGCAGTTCCTACTATCTCAAAATAGCCAATAAGTAGTACACTTCTATTGAGGCAATCAACAAAGTAATAACTGAAGTGTGCAATACAGCTTGGTGAATGAGTAACTCTGGCAGATTCAAGTCTGATATTAGATGCTGAGATGACTTAGACGAGACAAGTTCAAACAGAATGTTTGACTTCCTTATTTTCCCAGGAAGTGTCCTCATGAACAGAGACAGAGGTCATTGCAAGCAAGGAGCAATTCTCAAATAACAGAAATTTGGAAGTGAACATGTTCGCTTTATTCATAATGTAATCATTGAGAATGAATGAGAGTCTAAACCAATCAACATGTTCAAGTAAAGAGTCTACATTGTTCAACACAAAACTACAGGCAGTTAAGAATAAAAATCTGTTGACAGAGATTGAAGATGTGGTGTATACAACTCTATGGAGGCCACAATTCAGAAAAGACAGCCAATGGCTAATGATTCAAAATACTGCAAAAAAGAAATCTCCTGTTTTATCAATGATCATTTTCCCCATGAAGGAAACCCAAGCGATTAAAGGTCCTCCTTGTTTAAAGTGGCCTATTGATATCAGACTGTTAGGAAAAGGATCAAAGACAACAGTTTTCCACTTAGCAAATTACCAGCCCACCAGTCTGAAGAGAATATAATCAAGAAAAATCATGAAACTTATAGATCACTTGAATTTGTAAAGTCAGACTTGGGGAGGAGATGGGATAGTGATGAATGAAGCACATACACGAATACATCAATGCGTTTGCGTGGAGATATTGTAAATAAGCCTCAAAGGGTTAATACAGAGCAGTGCCATTTGCAAAACACACCATGATGATATCATATGGACTTGCGGGCAGAACAGCTTAGGATCTTGATGGAGTATAACCTAGTTTCCAGACACCCCTTCAAAGTGTCTGTAACAATGTCTATCATATCAACATAACCTGTAATTATTTGCTAACATGGAATAAAGTAGATTTTGTCAACTTCCAGGGACTCTTCTAGTTAGACCTCAGTGTGATTTTCTTCTAATGCAATAAACTATGCAGACCCTGTAGATCCCTATGCTTAAAGATGATGGTAGCAGCAGATCTATCACATTGTGGGGTGCAGACTTAGTTTAGCTGCACATACAAGTCATATGACCTTCATCTGTGTTGTAACCATTCCATGTCGCTGTGATTCGATGAGAAACACAAATATTTAAAAGAAAATGAAGAACTTTGTAATTGTCTGTGGGCTGGAATTTATACTCACCCACCAGTGGGTTTAAAGGTGACTGCGGTAAATTTTCACTGTCACTTGCCCACTCATGACTTTTCTGCAATTTAATGGCAACACTTGACAGCTAGCAAGGGCCTTATTCTGCTGTCACCAATATCTTCACTGCAGCGCCAAGCAGGAAGACCAGCAGCTTTAGCTCTGTGCGGATGGGGTGGGGATCAGCTACCTCCTTTGAGAACACCATGGACCAACTGGAGGATGTCCCACACCCCCACCCCTCCAAGTTAAACCCCCACATTTAGACCTCCACCCTGCCTTTTGAACACAGCCTCCCCAATCCTCTCTCCAGGGCAGGCCCCAGTGAGATACCAGAGGTATGTGGGCTACTTAGATCCTTGATGTCCTGACAGTACAGTAGCTAGCTTTCACTAGCGCCAGTGAAATTACAGAACTACAGCTAAGTGGCTTGGTCAGCAGCTATCTAAGATAGCACTTCTTCCTGAGGTAAGGCAGATGTATCAGCTTAAAGCTATTAATACTGCTCCCAGCATTAAATTGCTGCAGGGTAGTCATTCAGATGATGGGATGGCTCCCCTCTATTTTTTTAGCGGGAGGTTGGTTGGACTGGTAGAGGGATCGGAACCATTGTAGCCTTTTGGAATCAGCCCTATGAGTTGTCTCGCTGCACTCTGCAAATTTATTCCTAGAGATCCAGGTCAACCGTGGAAAGTTGCCAACTCTACCATCCATACTGTAAACATGCTGGCTGTAAATTTGCTGGGACTGCAGCATGAGCCTTTGTTACTCTTGAAAAATTGTTAGCAATGGAGAGGGAGCGACCCTCTTGAAAGTCCCTGCAATCATTTTACATTTCTAATGTGGTGGAGTGAATTTCATTTTTGGTAATACAAGATCTGACAGAGCTGGGAAAAATATTCACTTTTTGGAGTCCACAGTCAACATGAAACATTCTTAGGTTAATTATTGCATAAAATAGAAGCAGACAATTTACAATGCAGAACAGAGTTGGTATTTTTCACCACAATTTTTCTAACTATCTTATTTCAAATTGTAGTAGTTGTGCACAAATCTTTTCGAACTTTGGCTGCATTCATACTATGGGGTCATGGTAACAAAGAATGACTCGCCATTGTACAAATCAGATCTATATTCAAACTGAAGTGAAACAGGTGTGTAATAATAGACCTTATCTCAGTGTACCCTCTGATTGTGAATTATGTTTGACGGAGGAATGAAATTCTACAGAGAATGTGTCATCACACTAGAAATATTTCTAAACATTGATAGTACTTTAAATGTACAGAGAAGAAATGAAGCTCCAAATGCTGATACATGTGGTGAGTATATAAACATGTGAATGATAAAAGGCATTTTGAGAGGTCTTTCTCTAGAGTGCAATTCTATCTTAAACAGTCAGTTCTACTCAAACACCCAATCCAAGAAACTGGTTGTCTATTAAAATTCTGTGATTTTGTTAAAGCATTTAATGTAATATTCTGTTTGGTTAATTTTATGAATTAGTTAATTTGCAGTAATTTACTCAGGTATTGTCACTTTGCTACACGGTTGTAGACTAAACTAGCTGTACTCTGTCCAAATCTGATCAGAAAAGTGTATTGCTTAATATTATCCATAAATAAAAATGACAGATCCACATACCTGCATAAATGGACTTTTTTGAACAGGATGGAGCAAGCAGACACTGAATTTCTTTCCTCTGTAGTCTGTATTTACCAGATCAAAGGCTATAGTCTCAGGAACTGCCAGAATAATTGACACAACCCAGATGAGAATAATTTCAATCACAGTCCACATGGGAACTCTGATTCCTTGAATACGGCTCCAGGATGCCACAGCTCGATACCTGAGATTGGGTTAACGCATTAGAGAAAAAAAGACATTATGCATTGAAATGCCTTTCAATAATAAGCAGTGAAAGAGGTAGGACAGAGAAAAATATGTTTGACTGCTGTGTTAAATTACCTGTCTATACTGAGTGCACAGAGACTGAGAACAGTGATTCCAACAGATGCCTTTTGCATAAACGGCATTAGTTTGCATATTTCCACCCCAAAGGGCCAGTCTTCAGCATGGAGCTGAAAAGAAAAGGATTAACTACAAATTAATTTCTGAGATGAACATTTAAAAAAGTGACTTCATCAATACAGTCCCGAAATCTTGAAAGTTCAGTGGTACCAATTTCCCAGACTTCTGTGTATGCAGGACGCTATCCACTTTTATTTCTTCTTTAACTTTTCTACTTTTTCTATTCCGATAGCATCATTAAAAGGTACTAGAACTGCAAGCCAGGCCCTTGGACTATGATCCAAACAAATGAATTTAAATCTAGTCAATTGAATAATTTTGGAAGACACAGCAATCAATAATAGTGACTATGTAACTATTCGATTGTAAAGCAAAACCATCTGATTAATTAGCGTCCTTTAAAGAAGGACAATTTCCATCCTTGAGAGATAGCAGGAACTGCCGATGCAGTTTTTCTGAAGAAGAGTCCAAACCCAAAACGTCAGCTTTCCTGCTCCTCTGATGCTGCTTGGCCTGCTGTGTTCATCCAGTTCTACACCTTGTTATCTCAATTTCCATCCTTACCTGACCTATTTGTGACTTCAGCAATGTGACTAAATCACTTCTCTCTATGAACATCTAACAAATTACCCAGTGGTACTTAAGAAGACAGTACCTTACTCCTGTCTCAAGGACTAACAGACATCAGCAATAATTGCTGGATTAGCCAGTAATGAACATATCCCACAAATGAATAAAAGTCATTCTTGAAATTTGCAATTCTTTCTCTCTTCTTTAGTGATGACTGTAACTTATACTTTGCAATCAGTGTTTGCCCTTTAGTCTCTCAATTCAGAAGCTGCTTTCCATACAAGACCAGATGTTGCGGGTCAACAGCTGACACTGACTGGAGGACTTAGAACAAAATAATCCAATCGCACTCTAAATTCATTCCGGGGATGTGGGCATAGCTGGTTAGGCTATCATATGTTGCCCATTATTAACTGCCCTGGAAAAAGTGATGATGAGCTTTCTTCTTAAACAGCTGAAGTCTTTGAGTGTTGGTTCTCCTGCAGTCTATATGAAAAGAAGTTTCAGCATTTTGTCCCAGTGACAGTAAGAGAATTGTCGTGTAATTTCAAATCAAGATGGTGCGTGGATTAGGAGGGAACTTGCAAGTGATGGTGTTCTCATATGCATCTGTTGCCATTGTCTGTCTGGGTGGCAAAGAGAGACATTTGAACAGTACTTTCAGAGGATGATTTACATCTTCTAGATGGTACTTGTTGTTGTGCATCGCTGATGAAAGGAGTGAATGTTGAAGGTGGGGGAAAGGGTACCAATCAGGTGAGATGCTTTTGTTCTGGATGATGACAAGCTTCTTAAGTGTTGCAATAGCTGGAAGCATCCAGGTAAGTGGGAACATTCCATCATGTTCCTGACTTGAACTTGGACAGGCTTTTGGAAGAACAGGGGATGAGATACTCACCATAGAATTCCTTACCTAGGGCCTGTTTTTGTGCCATTGTATTCGTATGGCTACTCCAATTCAGTTTCTATTCAATGTTGACCCCAAGGATGTTGATAGTGAGGGATACAATGGTACTGCTGTTGAATAATAAGGAGCAATGCTTGGATTCTGATTGTCCTAGATTCTAAGACTGCTAGTGAACAAGTAATGGAAAGTTGGAAAGATCTTTGAATCCTATTCTTGGGACAACAACCAAACTTGGCGGCTTTACAATAGGTACTAATTGAAAACACAGTGTAGGTTAGTTTAACTCCTTCTTTAGCCTAGTGGCATAATGTCTATGAATAGACAGGCATCCCATATAGTTCTATACTTTGCTACATTCTTTAGGAATATACCAACTTTAATAGTGTAACAGCATTGCATCAGTGTGGCAGAGACTAATGTTCAAAACTGTCACCAAGTTATCCCCAAAGCAGTCCCTGGGCTGAAGAAGAGCTAAAAATCAGCACTTCAAATTGTTCTGACCACCACCAGTAGCAGGCCTATAATTATCAGCGCTTCACCCTAATATTACACAATTCAAAGTGCCTCCTTAAGGAAACACTCAATTTTGCTTAGAAATTCAGCTGCATATACAACAATGTATAAAGTTTCTCCGTCTGCAAATTAAAGCCCGTTTAAATAAGTTAGTGTCTTGCATAAAGAGAAATTTCATGGGAATGCATAAGTACGATCACCCCCAACTCTGTAAGTGCATGGCTGGATGTTTTTAATTTTTTACAATTCAAGTAGGCATAGTATGGCAAATTCACTAAGGCACTGCACCTGGTTCAAAAAAGCTCAAATAATCAATCTGAAGCCTTCAACACCCACCCACCACCATCTGGCACCATCAACTCACTGGAGTTGACACAATATTAAATTTCACATACAATGTCATGTTATTTCAGCAAATTCATGGAAATGATCCTTCAACTTATTTTCATCTGTAAGTGATGCACTATCCTTAACCCATTCCCATGAATAAAGGCATCTTAATCTAGCACTGCTCCTTTGGGAATTAAAACAGAAGTTGCTGGAAAAGCTCACAGGTCTGGCAACATCTGTGAAGGAAAAAACAGAGTTAACATTTCAGGTCCAGTGACCTTCCTCAGAACTTCTCCTTTGGGAATTGTTTAATTTCTGCAAAATAATTCTTTACATAAAGGGGGAAAGCTGTTTCAGGAGTTTGTGTGCAATTAGTGAGGGATTAAGGACCTTGTCTACTTTGACCTGAACAAAGTAGCAAAGCTGAATCCATGGATGTGGAGCAGGAACATCTTAACAGTAAATAGTAAGATGCAGTTGGATTCTGCTAGGGGGAGGCAGTAGTGTATTGGTAACCGCAGGCTCATATTCTGGGAATGTGGATTCAAATTCCACCTTGGCATCCCATTGTTTGTCATAAAAACCCATCTGGTTCACTATTGTCTTTTAGTAAAGGAAATCCTTAACTGGTCTGGCTTACACGTGACTCCAGACTCTTAACTGCCAGGTGAGGAATAAATGCTGGCCTCAGCAAGACCTAATTAAATAAAGGAGGATAAGCAGTTTTTAAAAGTATTCATGTGATCTGAGAACTACATATAAATGTCAAATAAATTCAGCGAGATGTATCGTACAGCTCCAATGCTTTGTGCTGTTGAGACGACAACAGGAACAATGAAAAAAATTTACATCATTTCAACATAAAATGCTTTGAACATTATTCTTTTCAATTAGTATAATTTAGTGCTGATTGCTGCTATTGTTTATAGCTTTCATTTTTCCAAAGACTGGAATGTCAAAGTCAACAACATTGAACAAAATGAAAAGAGAACAGAAATAAGTGAGCAGAAAGAGAAAAGAAAAATTCAAACCCATTAAAAGTGATCAGTAGAAGAAGGAGGTTAAGATGTTAAAATGCAATCAGCACATGTGGTGTGTCGAATGGTGAAATGCACAACGAAATTCAAAGCAAGGTCATATTGACTACAGGCACAAAAATTTGGCACAGAAGGAAAAATAAATCAAGTTCATTTCATTCCAACAAATTTACTTCTGCAATTAATCCCAGGAGCTATCCACCAACATCCTTATTCTACACACCACAAATCTCTAAAGCTACTCCATTAGTAAGTTCCCTTAGATTGAGATCTTTTAAAATGCAAGAAAAAATGGGTCGAATTGTCTAGGGATTATTCATTGCTAGCAAGAGAAAAGAAATTGCATTTATACGGCATGTTATCACATTTTGAGCATATCCTAAACTAACAGGTTAACATTGAAAGTGGTCATGGTTATGCAGATATATGCAATGTACATTCACATAATGCCTTTAATCTAATAAAACATCCTGAGGCACTTCACAGGAACATTGTCAGTCCACATGAAGAGACAGTGGGGTCGGATGACAAATCATGGTCAAAAAGACAGGTTTGACACATTGTCTTAAAGAAGGACATCCAATTAGAGCAATTGTTGGAAAAGCTCAGCCGGTCTGGCAGCATCTATGGAGAGAAATCAGAGTTAAAGTTTCAGGTCGAGTTTTGAGGAAGGGTCACAGATGCTGCCAGACCGGCTGAGCTTTTCCAGCAATTTCTGTTTTTGTTTCTGATTTACAATATCTATAGTTCTTTCAGTTTTTATTTGTCTTCCAATTAGAGAGGTGCTGACAGAAGACCTCAGAGCTTGAGGCCAAAGTAACTCAAGGTAAAACCATTGATGGTGTAGTCATTATCATTAGGAATATACAAAATGCCAGAATTAGAGGAGCATAGACACCTCAGAGGGTTGTGGAGTTGGAGGAGGTTGCAGAGATAGAGAGGGGCCAAAGCTCTGGAGGGATTTAAAAACCAGGATGACAATTTTAAAATAAAGATGTTGTTTGACTGGAAGCCAACTGGGTCAGCAAATACATGGTTGGCTCAGTGGTTAGTACTGCTGCCTCACAACGCCAGGGACTCGGGTTCAACTCCATCCTCGGGTGACTGTGTGGAGTTTGCATGTTCTCCCCATGTCTGCATGGGTTTGCTCTGGGTGCTCCGGTTTCTTCCCACAGTCCAACGATTTGTGAGTTTGGTGGATTGGCAATGCTAAACTGCCCATAATGTCCAGGGATGTGCAGGCTAGGTGGATAAGCTATGAGAAATGCAGGGTTATAGGGTAGGAAGGTGGGTCTAGGTAGGATGCTCTTTGGAGGGTCAATAATGTGCTGAATGGCCTCCTTCCACAGTGTAGAGATTCCATGATAAAGAGAAATGGGACTTTTTGAGAGGTAAGACACAGGCAGCAAAGCTTTATATGGCCTCAAGTTTAAGGAGGATAGAATGTGGGAGATTTGCCAGGAGAGTATTGGCATAGATAAGTCTAAAGGAAACTAAGGAAACATTGAGGCTTCAGCAACAGATGAGCTGAAGCAGTGATAATGTCCAGCAAACAAAGATTAAAAATAGGCAGTCTTACTGATGCCAGGAATGAGGTTGGGGACTCAGATGTGACACCAAACTTTATTTAAAGAATGCCTTAATCTCGGATTGCTGCCAAGGACAGGGGTGGAACCTATATCTAGGGAATTAA